ACCCGTCAAGCTTTAGATCTTCATCCTCCGAAATATTTGACTTGCAGAAGTAAATTTTCGATTTGGATTTAGAGGCATAAAATTATGGAACATGTATTCCCGTCTGTCAAAAACCTGCTGCTCAGTGAAATGTTGCAAAAAATGTCTGAAACAACATTTAACTACTCTGTATGCATGCATTTATGGTTTATCAGAATTACTTGTAAGTTTTTATAAGCAGTATTTTTGTTTTACTGTCACTACTACTACACACACACACACACACACACACACACACACACACACACACACACACACACACACACACACACACACACACACACACATTTTTGCATTATTCAGGTGGAGACTTCAGATAAGCTCATTCAGTTTTCTGCCTCTTCCTGCACTGAATGTTGTCCATTTTTTATTATTTGTTTAATATGTTTTGTTTCCCTTGCTGTGCAAAAACAAATAATACTAAAAAGCCTACAGCCATATAGGCCCCAACAAGGCCTACGAAGTGATTAGCAGCCAAAGTTGTGTTTATGCAACATATTGAGTTTCTCCCCAAAGCCCCCCCCGTAATATTAGCATTTGTAGTAGAAACGCACTTGTCAGGGTTTATAAAGAAGCAAAATGAAACTCAAATTGAGTTGACTAACCTAAATAAAGATTACCATTTTTTAGAGGACTGCACTCATTACATAAAACAGAGGGACACAATCATGTGCAGTAAATGCCTTATGACGAGTTTCCCAGACTCAGATGCTGTAGCCCAGTGTGGGACTAGTCTGTCTTGAATGTAAAGCATATTTTTCAGAAGAAGCAGGAATGGTATTTTCCTTTGTTGCTTTGTTGCCTACGATAAGTGTTGTAACAGAACCCGTTTTACAGTGTTACAAATACTCTCATCTCACCACAAATAACCCTACTTATGTCTCCGAACAACTTTTAGGTCATTTATATTGGCAAGGGTTTATTTATTTTTGTTACTAATTATTATTCAGTGACTTGTTTCTGGTTTATTACTTGTACATTTGCTGCACTGTACTGTCAGTGTACTAACCTGTATAGAATCTAAGCTACCACAGCTTGAAATGAAATGAGAAATAATTCTGGGTCACGTCCAATTTAAAAAAAGAACAAACTCAAATGTAATTCAGATGAGCAGTTTATTTCACTCTGTTGCTTCACATTTCATGCTCAGTGCAGGAGCACAGATGAATCATCCCACAGATATGAGACTAATGAAGAGCTGATAATGCATCAGACTGAAAATAGCTGCAACTTGTTTGCCAAATATATCAAGTATTAGTGAACAAAGGTCTATAGAAATGGCCTTTTGTTCTCTCAGAGGTCAATATCCTGCCCACGTCTTTGTCCTGTTATCACATATCAGACTGCGCTGTGGGTGACGCAGGCTCGTGAGGCTCAGATCATTCATTTGTGCGTTATGTATGGGTTTGCTGATGCTTGTAATTATACTTAGCATGTCTGTTATCAATGCAGTGAAATGCCTTGAGAAAAAAAGGGTTATAATATTGGATTTAATTGCAGAACCTTTGCTGTGAACACATGCTGAAACAAAGAGATTTCAGAACTTGATCAGTTTCTGACCATGTGTGATTTTTTTTTTTTGAGACAAAAGACCAGCTTCATCTTACATTGATTGATATTGTTTGCATTGTTGTTGTTTACATTTACATATACTTCATATTTATTTATGTTTCAAGAGTCAGTCTATGTATATCATATAAAAGATCTAAATGACAGTTACTGATCGCAATGTCTGTATTGACAGGAACTAACACTGTTTTTCTAAACAGGAGCCAGTCGCACAATGTAGGAAGTAAAGTCCTCTGTGAGGTGACATTTTGTCCGTCAAGCCCCTGAGAGCTCCCTCTGATCCTCTTATTTCCTCTTGCCTATTCGTGCCATCAGTTCTGCGTTGGCGGCTGCTTTGGTCCTCATGTCTTGGTTCTTGGCCAGGTCTATGAGGACACTGAGGATGCTCGTGGGAACATCGAGAGACAGGGCAAAGCGGGATCCCTGCTGGGCTCTCTTTGGCACCTGGGAGGCTGGTCGTGGTGCCCGTACTCGTCGGAGCATAGCATGGTGTTCAGAGCGGAGCAATGAGTTCAACAAACCGCTGCGGTTCAGGATGTCGACAGCCAGCATATCCCCCTGTGTGTCTCCAACAAGTTTTGTAAGAGCAGGGCTGCTCCTCACACACCAAGGCAGCAGCAGAGCGAGGCAGAAACACACACGCACACTTCTCATGGTCAAGACTCTTTCTGCAGGAAGAACAGAAGAACATTACATTTCCCAACACTGCACAAATGGAGATTCAATAACTCTCCACTGAGCAGTAGATCTAAGATTTTTCTTCTTCTTTATTGGCCAAAAAGAAAATCAAGAAAATAACAACATCAAAATGCACAAATAGAATGAAAAAAGCCAGAGGAATTGAGAACAACCAAACACTTAATTAAACATATCAGCCATGTTTGGCCACAAATTTACGTGCAAATTAAGATACTTTAGAGAGATCTCAATCAGGAGGGAAGGCCATTATTAAACATGCAATGTCAGGAAATATACAATGATTATATAGTTTTCTGCAGAGCATAATACATATCCACTTTTCCTGAAAAAAGTCCAGCTTTCTTTTAAATCATGTGACACCTGGGTAAACTTCATTAAATGTCATAATTTCAATCATTACTTACTCGATTTCCCCGCTGTGGATAGTTGGTAACTTGACAAAAGGCACTTCTTCTTCCTCTGGTTTACTGCAGGGCTCTGGTTATGGTGACTTGTCTTCGATCCTCAGATGTCCTATGTTTCTATGTTTTCTGTTTCCCAGCTTCTTCTCCTTATTCTAGTGGAGGATCAACCTTTGTGGCACGCAGTCAGATGTTCAACTGGAGTCCTGCAAGCTCGTCTTCGACTTTGTTTTTATCCACGTCTGTCTTTGGCGTGACACTGCCCCTTCCCCTCTCTGTTGTATCTTTGACATCTCAACACCCCATCACCCTCCCCTCATTTCATCTCATTTCCCCCACACTCATTGCAATCTTTCTCCTTCTAAAAATAACATGATGGTAATCACAATAGTTTGTCTTTAATGAATCGGATGATTGCTCCAGTCTGCAGTTAAAGCACATCTGAAACCCGGCGGCTCCATTCAAAAGTAAAGTACCTTTAACTATTTCACCTTTTTATCATGCCGTTACTAGTTCATGTGTGTTCAAATATCCTTTCAGACTCTGACCATGGACTTAATTTTAATGGGGGGGTGTCATATGAATATGCTTACAGATGATTTGAAATTATGTTCATACACAGTTAGATATATTTTAAAACTGCCTGATTGTCATGCAAGAAAAAGAGTTCATGTCAGTTACCGTGTATTAACAAGACAGAATAAAACCTGAGAACAATCTTAACACCCTGTTTCTGTTACCATGAGGAATCTCTGAATCCTGCTCATTGTTTCACCATTAGCTTCAGTTATCTTCAACACAGACTCTCCAGGTCTCTGAACTCTACTGGAGGACTCTACTTCCAAAATGCCCTGAATAACAACCATCCACAGCCATGTCATGAACTTAAAAAAAAAAAGTTCTACATGAAAGAGCAGGCCCAAATTCTTCCACATTACTGTGACAATGATTTAATTCTACGGGGGCATTAAGTGGGAGTAAAGGACTTTAAGCGAGGTGTCATAAATTAGAGTTAGTGTTTAATGTTTAATATGGGTATCATGTGTTTCCTTATAATTATATAATATAAAAGGATCTGCTTTTTTGCTCATTAAAATGTTTGACCAAGTGGGCCTCAGATATGTGTGCAAGTCTGTTAAAATACTATGCACAGCATTATTTTACTTACAGGAACATAATGTGAGTACAAAAATCTTTCTTGGTAAAGAACATAGAGGAGGAGGTGCTGGGAGGATAGATAGTGGAGGAATTAAAGTCCACGAGAATAAGGAGGAAGAGGCTGTCAGGCCGAGGGGAAGGGCTGAAGACAAATCCTACCCCGTCTCCTGACTCACCTCCAGTCCAGCTCATCAAGGGGCTTGCCCTCATCTAACTGATGATATATAAATATTACAAGTACAGCCTCATTATGATAGTTGGGCCCTCGGGGGCCTGAGTATTGCGAGTCATCTCAGTTACCCTAAAATAAACATACCTCGGTCACACAAAGGTCATCCAGCAGCATGCAGCTGTCCATTCTCGGGTCGTAAACGAGCCTGAGCGTTATTGTCACTGATACTGCATGACGCAGGACTGCACATGCATGATGTCATCTCTATGAATTTAGATACAACATTGTGTACATGTCATAGCAGGTTGTGGTTATTATTCCAGCAGCCCACTGACGTAGGTTCTGAATAATATCATTCAATAAATGAGTATCTCATAACAATTACGTGTCTGAAAGCTCTTGCCATTTAGTTTAGAAAAAGGAATCAACTCTCAAAATATAATCAAAATAATTATTATAGCAATTGGTAGTGAGCAGAGTTTAAAGTGAAGACATTACTTACTCTGGGAGTAGGCAATCTTCAAAGTGTTCACAATAAAAACTTAAGATGACCAATAAAGACAGTCTGCTTCTCAATGATGGAATATAAATGAGCATGACTTTTTAGTCCAGGTAAATACAATGAAATATGAAGAAGCAATTATGTATGTAGAATGTGGGCCTCTTTTCAGGAGGCTAAAAAGATGGTTAATTTTTGTCATCTTATTTAATGGCTTTTCTAAAATTATTGTAAATGTAGATAAATCAAAAAACAAAGAAGAATAAGTTATGTGACAGGTAACAACCCTAAACATGGTAGCTGAACCAGCATATTATCGTAGCATTTGTAAAGTTTGAAGAACAAAAATGTTTGTGTTTTTACCATGACTCAAATGGATAGATGAAAAGTTTGCAGAAATGTGTATTTTAATCCATGTTGTGTTCTTGAAACCTTTACATGAAAAGGAGACAAACCAACCTGCTCCCGTGTTTTACAGTTTTTTTTATTTTGTCGGAATGAGAGCTGTTATGTACAATAGAGGACAGAAACACGCGTTACAGAATTTATAAATATACTCTTGCTCCAAATGATCTGTAATGAGGTGTTATGTCCTGTAGATGGTTTTATATGTTTAAGTCCAGCCTCCTCTCTCTAAGTCAGTTCCAGGTAATGAGGACCTGTGCACTACAATCAAATGATAACTGACATGTTATTTCAAAGCTAACAATGAGCAGACTGGCTGCCCCCCCCACCCCCCACTGGCAAGTGGGGAGAAGAGAGAGGATGGAGGGTTGTCTGTGCTGTCAAGACAACATGTGGACGATCCTCAGGGACTTAACTCTCACATTGATGACGGGAGGAAGGCAGGGGGAGATTGAGAGGAGCAAACTTGAGATATTTGGAGCAACACAACTATCATCTTAAAACCTCAACCAGTACATGGCACTGCGCATTCTGTTGTAGTCAGGGAGCTGCTCAACGGGGCCTGGTGGAGAGAGGCAGGATGAAAAGGTTAGAGAAACGCATTCCAGCACAGGTCCCAAAAACACCAAAACCACACTGAACTCACCGACAGCTGCCACAGCGGGACACTTGTCATAGATGTACTTGGAGCAGACGTCACGTACCATCCTGGGGGTCACAGCCTGAAAGAAGAGATTGAAAGACAAGAAAAAATATTATTCCTGACTTAAAATACTTTGCAATTTTAATGATTTTAGAAACAGCCCGGGCAGATCTCTATTGAGAATCAACTCACATCTATGCGAGCATCCCACTCTGCCAGAGGAATACGCCGCCCGTAGTTCAAGACGTGTCTACCGATGTCATCACAGATTGGGGTTGTTCCTAAAAGACAAACACAATTGTTGACTCAGGATTCTGAGGAGTTTATATGTGGGTTTGTGTAACAGTGACAGACAAGTTACACACCATTGAGCTGTCCAACCAGGCTGGCCTTGAGAGCAATCTTGCCTCTAGCTACATCACTCTCTGTCACAGTGGTACACAGATTCATCCTGCAGGGGAAAGTGGGGGAATACAAGAAGAAATACAGGTATTTTTGTTTCAATCAAAAGTGACAATATAATAAAGTTGTGGTCTACTCTCTGTGCTGGAGTCTGTACTGACCAGGCGTTCTGGGACCAGTGCATCATATCCTCGATGTAGTGCTTATCAGCCACAAAGTGAATACCCAGCAGGCCGGTGTCGCTGTAGGACGAGTGGAAGGCCTGGAAGCTGTGACACAGTTTCTCCTCCACAGCCAGGCGAGCCAGCCGGCTGCTCAGATGCTACAGAGACGGCAGAAAAAAAATCCATGTTTATAGATTGATGTTTCAAATAAGTTTATATGATATTACTTGTGATATGTGGTGTTCAATGAAATTGACAATATATTTCACCTGTTACTGAAATAAAAGGAAAATATCATTGGTGCTATAATTGAGCTCTTGTTCCTCCCAAAAGGTCCAGAGGAAGGGGTGAGACCCCTGACCCAGGTTTAAGAGAGGATTATATTCTAGCCCCTAATAATGGCCACTCAAGATACTTAAAACCTCAAGTGGGCAAAGCTAACAGGGGCGAATGTTAAAAATCAACAAGATGAATTTATTTTAGGATGTATTATTTTCTGATGTCAGTTTCATCACTACTGTCTTTTCTTTACTGCCTTCACTAAACCATGCATGTACAATAAAATATCTCTAACCTTTCCACCACCATAGGTGAGGTCAAAGCTGCCGATGATGGAGTTGGCCACCATGAGAGGCACGATGTCCGGGCTGGCAGCACTGGCTCCCTCAACAGCGATGGCAACGTGTGCAAGAGGCAAAGCATCATCACGCATACGGATCTGACGACAGGGAAGAGAGAAACGGATTAATACAAATATTTTATGCTGACAGTTAAAATCATCTCTACTTGTACTCGATCACAGCCCAGAATCACCTCCAATCCATAAAACCTTTACATTTGTCTGAGTGTGCTGCATAACTCTGTTATAGATTCATGGTTACAGTCAGTGAAGTGAACGCTCTGAATTGTAGTTACGATGGATTGAAAAATAATGGTTACATGAAAAAGCAGTGGAATAAGTGATAATAATAAAGCTACAAAAAAGTTCTGAAACAAAACATCTCACCTCACTGCCTGTAAATCTGCAGGGTGACAGCAAAGGGACAGCATCTCCCTCATACTCAAATGACACCCCACTGAAGTGAGTTTTGGCCAACCCAACTAGCTCTTCGTGGGTTACACCTGTGGAGGAAATGCATGAGATAAATACTGTTCACTTATTCCAGTAAAAGTGGAAATCTTCCTCATACAAAGAGTGAAATGGAAGAGGACTTACCTCCAGCAGCAGCCAGCACCATGCGAGGAGCTTTGTAGTGAATGTTGACATATTCCACAAGGTCCTGGCGGGTCAGGGTCCTGGAAAAATGTAAAATGATGATTGATGATAACTTGCACAGCGATACAACATTTATAAAAGTTTGATTATTTAAGTTAAATACTGATAAATTAAGAGTGTTGTGTGATTAATGTTCTGCAGCAATAATTGTCATAGCAACAACACTGCCCTCTTCTGACAAAAGTTGCCCTTTGATGAAAGTGAACTTATAATTTATAAATGTGTTTGATCAAGCAGTTCCCCTTGCCTAGCATTGTTGGAAGGTCCCAGCACACTTTGTCCCAGGGGAGTGCCCTGGAAGGCCGTGGCGTGCAGGAGGTCCAGGCAAACTTCCTGAAGGTTACTCTCAACTTCCTCTAGCTCACGCAGCACCACACCTCTCTGCTGCTCGATCTCTGCCTCGCTCAGGGAGCAGCTCTGTACCACCTCAGACAGCAGCTCCACAGCTAAAAAAACAGAAGAGAAAACTAAGATATGTACTCGTGCTAAGATATAGTTACGATCTCAGCAACTATTCATTAAATGACTGAGCCTATTAATTGTGATCATCATGACAAACAACTTTTCTTAAATAGGGCATAATCAACTTATTTCAATGCGTGTAAGCAAGTCATCTCACCTTTGGGCAGGTCTTTAGCAAGGGTCTTCATGTAGTATGCAGTGTGCTCCCTGGAGGTGTAAGCACTCAGGTGAGCACCCATTGATTCCACCTCCTGCTCCAGGGCTGTCTGAGGGTGCTTCTTTGTTCCCTGAAGGACATCATGTTTTCCACAGTTAAACATTGCTATGGACAATTATATACTTGTTTGACTTTACGGTGTAAACTTTGCATTTTGAGCCCTAAAAACGTCCACAAACTACAAAACTAATGGTTGTGAAATCAGAAGAGGGTCATTTAAATTTAAGGTAGCAGGCATGAAAATGCTGGTCCATTCTATTCACTGCTCTTACACATCTGGTGAGTTCTCTCAGTACACTTGGCCAAACCACTTTTGGACCAGACGGTGGAACATCACCTTACAATCTACTCTGCTGCTGCTGAGACGCTGTTGTGCTCTAGGATTTACTAACTGAATAACACTTCTGGAAGGAAATACATCCAACCCATTTATTAAACCTAAAGAACACACAATGTGTTCTTGTGCACAATCTCAACATAACTATTATTTTTATTTACAGGAAAACTCAACAGGGTGCAGATAAGGTGATGCGCTCTTTCAAATCCTACCTTAAAGGCCATGTGTTCCAGGAAGAAACCTGCTCCGTTGTTCCTTTCACTCTCATAGCGACTGCCAGCACTGATCCACAGTCCAACCTATGACAGTGACCACATATTAGAGAGAAGATTAATCTTGCACAACACACTATTTAATTCATCTATAGGGTCAGGGTCTATAATGTCTTATCACAATCTCCTACATGGCTGTAAAAAGACACTCTTTTACTTTCTTACAGTGCAGGTGGCATGTCCAGTCTCCTCTGATGCAACCCTCAAGCCATTGTCCAGGGCAGTGAGGCGAGTTTCTGGGGCTCCCAGCAGGCTCTGGGCATAGCTGACTGAGGCCTGTCCCCGCCTCAGAGACAGCAGGATGGGCTAGAGACACGAAAGGCAAGTAGATTAATTTTCAAATGTCTTACATGACCTAGCACTGCCACAGTAACTGACACCTGTGGTCACATTAAACCCATTAGAAAACCACTTTCTAAATGATTGCCACCCCTAAAATAAGGGTGCCAGAGACTGAGGGCCAACATAGAAGGACACAATAATCCAAAAACCATAAAATTACATAAAAACCAAGAACCATAAAATTATTTTATATACTTTATATTACTTTTATATACTTTATATATTTAATGTAAAAAAGACTGGAAGCAAGTCATTTCCATGTCTATTCTTTAGCACTGAGTGGACATACAGAAACACAGGTGTGTGCTTCTCATTCTGTAAAATACAGAGACACATTTTTGCAGTCATGTGCAAACTTACGTTTTTCATATTGTCAACATTCTTTTCATTTTTATTTCAGTTAAAGAAATGTTAATGTATATTTTTACAACGTGTAAAATATTCAAGATTAAATGAACTGTTTATTAAAGTAAAGCACAGCAGATCCTGAATAAGAGGACATCAGTTACTGTTTTTGATGCATGGACATTAGAAGAAGCTGAGACAGGATGTTGACATTATGTGTGTATCAGGTCACCTTTTATAGAGGTCACATGCCTGTATGTGCCAGGCAAACTGTACTTCATGCTTTATTGATTAATAAACAAGTGTAGAACTGTTCTGTGTAGGACAACACCTCAAATTAAGGCTGACAGCTATTAAAACCAAAGCAACCTCCTGCTATGCACCAATGGAATGGCTAAAAATAGACAAAACCAAAAGTCTCTATATCAGCTGACATGAATTATTTCCAAACGTCAAATAATAGTTTATTTATTTATAATGTTCATCACATAGTATTGTCGTGTAATGGGATAGTTTTCTGAAGCTATTTTAATTTTATATCCGAAAAGTATTTCGCTATGATGATTTGCAATCAGTAAGATTAAAAAAGTGCTTTCTGAGTATTATCTGTTTGTAAATATGGGAACACAATGAAGGTTTATGAACGTAGACATTGCACAGCCCAGTGTCACGTAGACTAAAGTCAGCGTCACTACCGACGTAGAATACGCCTTATCACTTAATACATTTAAATTAAGATATTAAAGATAGCACATTCTGAGTGTGTAAGTGCTGAAGAGACCGTACAGTCAGCGTACGTGTCTCCAAAGTCACCACAATAAATCTGCTAACACGGAAGCTTGGCCGCGGTGTGGGGCAAGTGAGGACAAGTGACACACTGCAGCTGCTGACCTTGTGACTGACCAAAGACAACTAAAACCAAGGCTAGCTGACATCAATATCACGTACAAAAGATTAACATTACACATCAGATCTGTGTTAGAAGACATACCGCCTCATTTGAAAGGTGACCTTGCATTCACTGCTAGCTAACCAATGCTAACCGGTTAGCTACGTCCTTTCCGTTTCTGTAATACGGAGCTGATAGTTCAGCAAGCAAGTCTTCTTCGATTTCCATTAATGTATCAATAAACGTGACCACACACTATTACTACTGTATGTGTTAATGTGCAGACAAGCTGAAATGCAGGGGGCTTGTCAAATATACTCACACTGCGGGTTTTAGCGAGGGTTCGACCCACGGTGCTCCCGACTCGGCACACGGACGCCGCCATTTCTAAGTACTGTTATGTGAGCTGGGCCCGGCTGTTCTCTCGTGAAGTCTCTTCTTCGCCATCACGTCAAAATGTGTATTCAAGAGCTCATTACCGCCACCAAGTGTTCAGTAGAGGGTAAGGGCGTGGACAAGAGTGTCAGGTTTTTAGATGAAGGAACATTGAAGTAATAATAACTGAGAGAGAAACGACACATCCCATTTTTGTGATGCCAGTAAAGTTTACTGTTAATTAACTTTTCCTTTTTATTATTGCACCCTTTTCTATATTGTCTTTGTATACACATATAAATTGTAAACGCAATATATTCTGAATAAAGTTTTTAAAATTTAAAAAAAAAAAGTTTACTGTTAATTTTTTAATGCCAATTCTTGCAATCACTCAGTATTTCCCCCTGCTCCAGTCCCTTTAAACAACTCTCCTACTGACATACATATTGGATTTGCTTATTTCTGTCATGTAAAACTGCATTTTCACTGCCATTTCCTATCTTTTGTTATCCATAAAAAAGTGACACATCTGTAATCAATCGTCAAGGGTGGCAGTAGCTCAGTCTGTAGGGACTGAGCTACTACTACTAAGTGGAGGAAAAATTCACACAGGGGAACCTCCGCACAGCTTGGCAGGGCCTCAAAAACATGGCTGCTGTGAACACTGCTGCTACCAACATCAAAACCATTGAGGTTGCAGGCAGCAGCTCTACTTCTCTCCCCAACGATCTCAACTCATTCTACACCAGATTCGAGAAGGACAACACCACACAGCTGGAAGGAACAGTGTCCATGCTCATGCCCAGTGACTCTGCACTCACCTTCAGCAGAGAGGATGTGGTGAGAGCAGCTCACCTGGTCCAGACAACATCAGTGGCCGCATCCTGAAGCACTGTGCCCAGCAGCTAGGGGGCGTGTTTCAGACCCTGTTTCAGAGCTCTATGGACAGCAGCACAGTCCCCCAGCTGTGGAAACACTCCACAGTTATCCCCATCCCCAAGAAAAGCCCCGCCAAATCACTGAATGACCTCAGGCCTGTGGCCCTCATGTCTCTGTTGATGAAGGCCATGGAGAGGATCATAAAACAACACATCATCAGAGAAACCGACTCCCAGATGGACCCGCTACAATTTGCTTATCATGCAGGCAGAGGTGTCGATGATGCAAAAACATTCATAATAGACACTGTTCAAAAACACCTGGAGCACCCCAACACCTCAGCCAGACTCCTGTTTGCAGACTTCTCCTCTGCATTCAACACCCTGCAGCCTCACATCCTGGCTGACAAACTTTCAACTTGCTTCCATCTGAACGACCAGCTTATCCTGTGGATATTGGACTTTCTGACCAACAGATCACAGAGAGTTCTGGTCAACAACACCTTCTCCAACCTCCAACACACCTCAACTGGCTCCCCTCAGGGCTGCGTGCTCTCACCTCTGCTCTTCATCCTCTACACCGATGACTGCAGAACCACACAGCCAAACTGTCACCTGGTGAAGTACGCGGACGACACAGTTCTCCTGTCTCTGCTGTCAGGCCCCTCTCAGCACCATGGACCAGTTCTTCAGGAGTTTGTGGAGTGGTGTGACAGCTCCTGCCTCGAACTGAACGTGAGCAAGACCAAGACATGGTGGTGACCTTCTCCAACAAGCAGAGGGAACTGGCTGCATCAGCAATCACCACAATCCATGGGAATCCTGTCGAACTAGTAGAGGAGTATAAGTACCTGGGTACCATCTTCGACAGCCTGCTGAAATTCGCCTCCTAAGAAAATACCTCCTAAGGAAGCTAAATTCCTTTGGAGTCAGTAAGAACATTCTTCTGACCTTCTACTACTCCTTCATTGAGAGCATTATTACTTTTTCTATAACCTGCTGGTTCCACTCCACCACCCTCCAGAACGGAAACCGCCTGCAGAGCACGGTCACAGTCTGCTCTAAGATCATTGGACTACCTGTAAGGACTTTGACATCGATCTATGAGCAACAGACAATCAGGCTAGCAGGTGGGATTATGCAGGACCCCTCACACGCTCTCTTCCCAGCGTTTGAGTGGCTCCCCTCAGGACGCCGGCAGGACACAGAGGAGAAGAGCAACCTTCGTTCCCAGGGCTGTCCAGCTCCTCAACTCCTAACCCCCCCCCCAACAGACACCAACACCTCTCACCCACTGCAGACTCTCAGCTGTGAACTTCCTTTATATTGACATGCACCTTAACTGCCTCTGCTTTATCTGGTCTCATGCACTACATCACTTTATTCTATCCATTTTATATCAGTACTCATACAGTTCTGGTTACTTTATTCCTGTTGTTTCTTATCCATCATTGCACTACAGTCACTTTATTTATCTCATATTTACCTTACAGTTATATTGTATATATTAGTTCTGTTGTTCCATTATTCACCATGCACCTTAATAACTTATCATTTAGTATTTGCCTACTTACACATAGCTCTGTATATATATATATTTATTTCTCGTTTACTGTACATAGTTCTGTATATATATATTTATTTCTCATTTACTGCATATAGTTCTGTTTACATCTGTTAGTCTGATCACTGTCCACTTATATCTACTCTTTTATATTTTGTATTTTTAAGTTAAGTTTAAGCTTTAAGTTGTATTTAAATTGACACTTTATACTTAGGTTAAAATGTTTTGTTTACTTGCACTGTTGTTCATTTACTGCTCTGTGTGCCTTTGAATTCCCCCCCGGGGACAAATAAAGTTTTTTGAATTGAATTGAATTGGGTTGGGAACCGGAGGGTCCAAGTCCCGGTGCGGACCAAATATGGAAGTTGGTCTGGTAGCTGGAGAGGTGCCTGAGCACTGCCGAGGTGCCCTTGAGCAAGGTACCAAACCCCCTACCCACCACCAGCTCAGGAGCGCCTGCTGTGGGCTGCTCCGTCACTCTGACATCTCTCCATTAGTGCATGTCCATAGGACTCTGTTTGTGCATGTGTGTATATTTCAGCCTATGTGTGTGTTGCATGACTTACAGAGTGTAAAAACTGAAATTTCCCCTTGCGGGATCAAGTTTCATTGCAGACCACGTCTGGAAGTTAGGCTGGTTGCTGGAGAGATGCCAGTACACTTACTGAGCTCTGCTGAAGTGCCCTAGAGCAAGACAAGAACTCACAACTGCTTGGGGCTCTTTTAAGTGTGCAGCCTCTCATTCTGATATCTCTCTATTTGCCTGTACATGACCTTTTAGTGCTTTAAAAGATGCTACAGTAAATCCTGGATCAGCTGTGTGGATGGTGTGACTGTGTGGTAAAGCTTTGTTAAAGTTGTAACGCACATACTCATATGCCTTTGGAGAGTAAAAGTGCAGTGTGGTGGCAAACTGCTTATAAAATATAAAATAGTATTTTATTGGTGAGGTCCCCCAATCAAAGTGTCCTACAGAGTAGCAGCAGCTTTAGAGGGAAGTGACGAGCGCATTATGGAGAGGAGCGCACCAGAGGGGGCGAGCTGGAGGAGAGACGCACAGCCTGAGAAAAAGGAAATCCCTGTTTAAAATATAATGTTGGTGAAAAGAGGGAAATAGGAAGACATAAATGTCAATGTTGAAATTCTTTTGAATGCAGAGGCTGTGAATGTTCAGTTTTCTTTGGCTATAAAAAGGCAACAACAGCCTGTAGTTTGGTGTTTCTCTTTGTTAACGATTATTGAAGCGAAATAAAAAATAAATGCATGACATTTAAAACATATTAACATGTGTGGGGAAAAACGCGATCTTTATGTCTTCTTTTATTGTGCCTATGTCTCCTCCTAACTTCAATAACAGCAGCATGTTGTGTGTAACACTGGTCTCCTGCATTAACACCTTCCTTTCAAAGGTGTTAAATACAGACACAGTCACAATCACCGCAATGTTTGTCAGGTTTTGTAAATGTTTAGAACAATTTCTCAATGAGCGTCATTAAATTTACAATATGATTAACTTGTGACTGTTGAATTGGTGTGTGTGGAAGACAATGCAGAATATTTATCACGTTTAAGCAGCATGATGCTCAGTTAATATTACATTACACCGCCAGTTGTTGATGTTTGCGTTCACGTTTCGGTTAGTCTCTTAAATCAGTAACAGTTATATTAAATAAGATCTTACCTTTAGTTTTATCTGGATACATTGAGGAATATTCTACCCTCGTATATAGTCCTATGAATTTCAGCCTGCACGGTGAAAGTAAAACCTGTTACTCTCGGTATAGTCCACTTATCACTCAGACTGTAAACATGTTCACATTAGTAATGATGCAGGCCAGATTTAAATTACGTGGCTTTGTTTTTGCCCTAGATACTTTTTTGAGACTTTACCAGACTATTTATTTTTGCTGTAAAATAACTGTACAGTCAATGAACTGCATCTATGAGCGGATTTTATATTACGATTCTTGGTTTTAAATACAATTTCAATCACAATAACGATATAACAATATCAAGAAACATAGCATGTCAGTTATTAGGTTTGCTCATTTAATAAAATAAAATAAAAAGATAAATCATGCCGGATAAGTAACCTAGCTTTACAACATTTCAGCTAACCTTAGACTGCTTATGTGTTAGCTAGCTAGATAACGACTTTAACCAATGACACATAAATCACTTTTTTACTTACCGAAAAATCTGCAAAGATCCCTTAGCTCCCTCAGGTCGGTTGTTGCTATTCACAAAGAGAGCTACGCAAGATCGGCGGCTGTCAATCATCGTCAAATATGACGTAAAATCCCGTTTTTCAACCTCAAATAACTTATTTAAAACAAACTTCACAGAAAGATGAGCACTTGAATACAATGTAGGGTGATAATAACTAATGATCACAGCAGAGTTTAGGTTTGGAAAAGGTGCAAGATCTGGGTGCAGGTTTGGTTTCCCGAAGCAACGGTGCAGAAAGATGATGATAACAAGACCTGCAGACGATGAGGGGTCACTCAGGCTTGCAATGGCAAAGATAAAACTGGCACCACTGATTCAGCTGCTGAATGAACCTGCAACTGCCTCCCTGAGTTTAGTAGAGGTCCTCGCTCGATTTGATTTAACC